GATTGTCTGTACAAAATACAAGTTTACGACACACAAGAAATCACAGTTACATTAGGCATAAAACTAAGACAGTTTTAGTAAGAAGCTGATTAACATCAACTCTAGGATTCAGATACTTCCAGCTGACAAGTATCAAATTGAACAAAACGCGCGTTCTAGATTCCACTGCTAGACACCATCCATCTATGCTTATAAAACCTGTGAATTAAAGCAATATCGAGGCCGTCCAAAACAACAATGAGAAGATACAAACAAATAATACCAAATGAATATAGAGAACTAACTTAATAATAACTTAAAATTTTATTGTTGAAAGGCATTTGGAGTTATTTCAATAGGCAACTCATATTTATGTTCGTAATTGTTAATTTCGACTAGGACCACTTTGCGCTCATTTTTAGCTGGATAATATCTCTGTGATCATTTTCTCGTTTCTGTTTTTGATTTTAAACAACAGTACATCATAAAACTACTTCATCTTGACAGATATCTTTAATAATAGTGACTCTTTTCGTTCTAGTTTTCTCTTAATAATGATCCATATTCCATCTTTGGTTATTTTTTGTTAAATTATTGGGCATAAATTCTTAAGTTTCTTTTTAACTATTTTCACTAAAGCACACAGTTGGATTTGAAGATTATTTATTTAGTTCGTTCTTATTACTTACAAGTAGTGAACTGATTTACTAAAATGTATTTCTGATATCCGTCTACGTGTATTATCTGATCACAAGCATTAAGACAATCTAAGTCCTTTTTTTGTGAACAAGTGAGTAGGCTCAACGAATCGCCAAGACCATCATCTCTTTCTGGAGCACTGTTTGAAATAACTGCGTAAGGCACAAAATGAATCCCATGGTTACCACTGGTCCGAAAACCCGGATAACGAAGGAGAGTTTGGGATGAGGTCAGCAATTCCATCTCGTGGAAAATAACTTTCCTAACAAAACGCTAACCAGATTAACTCACTTGAACCATGTACACTCAACCCTGAAAGTTGAAGGATCTTCGTTTAAAAGAATTATGCGGCCTCACGGCGAAAGTCGAGGTTCTTCTGAAATCATGAGGTCGATGTCCTATCTAACAACCGAGATCAACAGACCGGACTCCGTAAGGACTGGTCATGCACAGACCGAATTGCAACACTATGGATCATCATTGAACAATCAGTTGAGTGATATTCATCACTATACATCGACATCCTTGACTATGTGAATGCATTTAACAGTGTGGATAGGAGAACGTTTTGGAACCATCTTCGACACTATACTGTTAGTAGCTGAGAAAATCATCAACATCATCCGGAATTTATACAATTGACTACATTGCAATGTTGTGCATGGAAAATAGCTGTCAGATGCATTTCAAGTAAAGACCGGTGTCTGACAAGGCTGATAACTCTCCCCCTTTCTCTTTCTTCTGGCAGTCGGCTCACACATCTCAGAGGAAGCACAGAATACAGTGGACAGTTAAGATGCAACTAGACGAATTGGATTTCGCAGATAACCTAGTTCTTTTATTCCATACACGCCAACAAACGCAGGTGAAGACAGCCAGTGATGTAGTAGCCATTCCAGTGGTAAACTTCAACATTCGCAATGGAACAGTAGAACCCGAAAATACAGCAGAAAGACTACCAACACAATCACACCTGTTGGGCAAGCTCTGGAAAACGTGGAATGTTTTAAGTATTTGAACTTCATCATCGACGAATAAGGAATTTCTATGCAGATTTGAAGGCACAGATTCGCAAAACAAGGATAGCATTCCTACAACTCAAGAATATAGACAACTCAAAACATAGGTCACCAAACCAACATCAGAGTCAGAATCTTCAATTCACATCAAAACAGTTCCACTGTACAGAGCTGAAACTTGGAGAACTACTACAACCATCATCAATGAAGTACAGGTTTTTATAATCAATTGTTTACTCAAGATACTCAATATTCGTTGACCGTTCGTAACAACCTATTGTGGAAAAGATAAAACCAACTTCTAGATAAGGAGCGAATTAGGAAAATAGCGTAGAAGTGAGTAGAACGTACGTCTCAAAAACCATAAAGCTTCATCACGAGATTAAACATAAATTAGGATCCTCAAGGCACAAGTAACTGGAGGCAGACTTGAAGAGCATAGAAAGCACTTACAAACAGTTGGAAAGGAAATCGGAGGACAGATTTAGTTGGAGAATCCTGGTAAACTGCTTATGATCCTCTTTGTATCGTATTTTAATATTATTTTCATCTTCTTTCTTGATGATTTAGTCACTTAACCTGCTTTCTTTTATCATCCCTAAATCATTCATCATCTTTATGCAAAATATTCAAGGAAAATCAATGTTAATATCTAACCTCAACCAATCCACGAAGTTGCGCCACCGTACACCATTGTCTTCAGTGAGTTGTTAGACATTAACACCGTTGGATGCCGGCTCAGTAGTCTAGTAGTTAAGTGCTCGCGCGCGAAGCCAGTAGGTCCTGGGTTCGAGTCCCGCGTGGTGCGGGATCTTGGATGCGCACTGCTGAGGAGTCCCATACCAGGACGAAACGGCCGTCCAGTGCTTCCAGGTTTTCAATGGTGGTCTAGCTTCAACTGACTCATGATTTCAAACTGTGAAATTTCTAAAATTCTCCACAAAACCCATTCTGATAATGAAAATCAATGTATCAAATAAGAATATTCATGTAAATGTATTCTCATATCTAATTCACATGGAATCATGTAATCAAATCATTCACTTATTTACTTTGATACATAGTAAATCTATTCATGTTCACTTCTTTATGTTGATTAAATTCAATTGTCAACTGTTTATTTTTCTCCATTGATACAACTAAAATAAAATTTAACTAAATACATTGAGATAAAACAGTATTTCGCTACATATTGCCTGTTCATACTTAAGTATAAAAACAAAACAAAATAATAGTAACTAAGTAACATTTATATTTAACTGAGTATATCGATCATTTTTATTTCTCTATTTATCAAGATTTATGTTGTGAAAAAAAATGGTATAGAAACAAAAAAAAGAGAGAATAAGAATCCGTTTTTTTTTTAATTTTTTTAAAAACTTCCTTCTAATGGTTTCGTTGAATAGAAACATCCATTTTTATGTTCTAAATATGGCCATTTATTTTCTACTTGTTCAATGATATCTGGTAAATATAGTCGTTAAGATAAATCACTGAAACAACTCGCATTATATTAAAACACAATTCATATGAATGAAGAATATTCTTTTCAATGAATTTTTCATCAAGTTCTACAATTATCTCATATCCAAATTAATAATTCATAACATTGGCCAGATTCAAGACAGAGCACATCATTTAGAAATTGTAATATGGGAATTGAGAATTGTTGTTTGTTATATAAAATCAAATCAGATCGTTAATGTTGGGGTCGACTAATATGAAGTTGTTGACTTGAATCAGTTTATAAGTGAGATGAAATTATGAGATAAATAATGATCAGAATAAATATGATCCATATGGGGTAAGAGAGAAGAGAGAATAATGAAATAAAAGTCTGAAATTACGCAATACGTAGAATAATATGAATTAGGTCAGATATTGTAGATAAGGGTGAATGCTGAATAAATTTCTCAAAAAGGTTGTCAAACGTATTATTAATAATAATAATGATAAAGATAATAATAAGTTTGGGGCATCAAAATTATCATTACTCACATTACGTCACCATATTATATTTTATTATATTAATCGCCCCGCAACATTAACGATTTGATTTGATTTGCTATGATAAACAACAATCCTTGATTTACATATTACAATTTGGAATGACGTATTCTGCCTTAAATCTGGCCAATGTTATGGATCATTAATTTGGATTTATAATTTTAGAACCTGATGAGAAATTCATTGAAAAGAATATTCTTCGTTCATAATATTGAGATAAAATAGTATTTCGCTACATATTGCCTGTCCATACTTAAGCACTACTAATAATAAATCAAACATAAATCAAACATCATCTACAAAATAAATTTCGCCAACTGCGAAAAACACTACATCGGACAAAGCGGACTTCCTCTTCACCTTCGCCTACATGAACATCAATTAGCAGTTAAACGCCATGACATTTCCTCACTTACATCAATACACGTGGACAACTGTGGACACTCATTTGACTCGAAAAATGTGGGAATCTTAGATAGAGGAAATTCCAAAGACACCAGAGAATGTTTAGAAAACTGGCACTCAGGTCAATCGGCAATCAACAAACATACTGAAATCAATCCAATTTATCAACTAATCAGGAAAATTATGCACAAACATAGGAATAAAAATCAAACCAATGGAAGACACAACCAAAACAAAGAAGTAAACAATGTCAAATTTAAAGTTAACAAAAGCCAATTAGCATCGATGTGTACAAGACAAGCTGTGAAGCACATATGGAGAAATTCGAACGCTTCACTTCTATCGGAAGTTTGTGTTGATGATGTCGTTCAGAAGAACGATAAAAGCTCCACGACCAAAACATCCAGCTCAGAGAACAAAATTCCATCAAAATAATAATATTAATACCAATAATAATAGTAACTAAGTAACATTTATATGTAACTGAATATATCAATCATTTTTATTTCTCTATTTGTAAATATTTATGTTGTAAAAAAATGTTATAGAAACTGCTAGGTTTGAAGCAGAACAGAACCAGAACAAAGACTCAGTGATCAAAGACCAGTAAGCTAGCTATTTGATGCGTCCCAACCTCACTACTAGAGGAAGAAGTCCAAGCTTGGAATGGGAAAGTATATTCTGCAAACAGCCAGAAACGAGCGATCACACAGCGATCCACAAACACAATTCAAGCGTATATATATATCAATTATACGTATATAATCGATATTACCATGGAAGCATTTTTAATCATTTAATCGATTATTTAGTCAATCGACTGCCATAGAAATATTTAACATTTAATCGATAAGAATAGTTTAGTTAATTAACAATTATACGGTAATATATACGTATAATATTGGTCCACAAATGGATCCCAAAAATTACCACTGATTATTGTTATCAAGGTATAACAGAAACAAAAAAAAGAATAAGAATCCGTTTTTTTTAAATTTTTTTAAAAACTTCCTTCTAATGGTTTCGTTGAATAGAAACATCCATTTTTATGTTCTAAATATGGCCATTTATTTTCTACTTGTTCAATGATATCTGGTAAATATAGTCGTTGTGATAAATTTACATTTGAATGAAAGTTTTGAATGGAATTCTTTTGATGATTAAATTGTTCTTTCATAAATAAAGAATCATTATCGTAATTAAATGAATAAGTTTGTATTTGACTTTTCATAGGTTTATTAAATGTTGTTATTCCAGCTGCAGGTAAATGATTCGATAAATGACGATGTTTTATTGAACTACCATAATCATATTGATATCTTGAATTTATAGTAGAATATGATTCTTGAATTTCATATGGTGGTTTTAATATCTTATGGAAATAAAGAAAATATATAATGAAAGTAACATAATAAATAGATAGAAAATAATCAGTATATAGTTGTAGAGATTGTTAAATTTCATTGAAACCATAAACCAATCATATTTAGACAACCAATGAAGACATATATATATATGTATATATTCTGTTTTCCTGTAATGATGTAATGATTATGGAAGTTCGTATGAATAGATTTAGAGCCAAAACAATGTTTGTATTCAGTGGTTATGCTGAGTTGACATTCATGAATCTATTTGATTATGTCAGCTTGCGATAGATAATTGATCTTAGACTTCTATTTGAATTCTTTTGACTAAGTAGTCTAAAGACGGTAGACCGTTACGTTAATTTTTACTTCCAAAAGTAAATTTGATGTAGACTGAGAAACTATTCAGCAGTTTAGAAAAGTTTCGTAGGATAGTCTTTCTCATATCTCTACTAAATGTTTGGTCTGAAGACTGGTAAAAACATGTGATTCCATATGGGGCATACTACTGTGGTTACCAGGGGAAGTCTTTAACAGAGTGTCGCTTAACCGGATGAAAGGTGCAGTAGACGCCCTACTTCGTGATCAACAGACTAAATTCCGTAAGGATCGGTTGTACACAGACAAAATGGCGACAATACGGATCATCGTTGAACAATCAATTGAGTGGAACTCAACACTGTACATCAACTTCATTGATTATGAAAATGTGTTTGACAGTGTAGATAGAAGAAAATTATGGAAACTTCTTCGACACTACGGAGTTCCTGAGAAGATTATCAACATTATCCGGAACTCATACGACGGACTACAGTGCAAAGTAGTGCATGGAGGACAGATGGCAGCTGCATTACAAATAAGGGCCGGAGTCAGACAAGGCTGTCTACTCTCTCCCTTCCTCTTTCTTCTGGTGGTCGATTGGATTATGAAGACCTCGACACCTGAGGAAAAACGCAGCATACAATGGACAGCTCAGAATCAATTAGACGATTTGGACTTCGCAGATTAACAAATGCAGATAAAGACAGCCAGTGTATCAGCAGTCTCTGCATCAGTAGGCCTCAGTATACACAAGGGGAAAACCAAGGTCCTCAAATTCAAAGCGGAGAACAGCAATCCAATCACTCTTGATGGAGAAACTCTGGAAGATGTAGAATCCTTCACACACCTGGGGGGCGGCATCATCGATGAACAAGGAGGCTCAGATGCAAACGTAAAGGAGAGGATTGGCAAAGGGAGGGCCGCATTCCTACAACTGAAGAACATATGGAACTCAAAATAACTTTCAACCAATATCAAAGTGAGAATCTTCAATACCAATGTCAACGCAGTTCTACTGTATGGAGCTGGAATTTGGAGAACTACAACAACAAACACCGTCAAGAAGGTACAAGTATTTATAAATGGTTGTCTACGCAGGACACTCAACGTCCATTGGCCGGATACAATCAGCGACAGCCTTTTGTGAGAGAGAACAAACCAGCTTCCAGCTGAAGAAGAAATTAGGAAAAGACGATGGAAATGGATAGGACATACATTACGCAAATCATCAAACTGCATCACGAGGCAAGCCCTAACTTGGAATCCTGAAGGGAAGCGGAAAAGAGGAAGGCCAAAGAAAACATTACGTCGGGAAATAGAAGCAGATATGGAAAGGATGAATAACAACTGGAAGAAGCTGGAAAAGATTGCCCAAGATAGGTTAGTTGGAGAGTGCTGGGCGGCCTATGCTCCTTCACTAGGAGTAACAGGAGTAAGTAAGTAATATGGGGCATGAACAGATTAACGACAATCAGAAACACAGAAGATCCCATGGTCACTCCTTTTGAGTGTATAAATCCCTCATTATAATTTTGACTGTACCAAATATATTTTGTTTGTTCGCTTTGTACTTTTTAAGCTTGAGTTAACTTAATCAGTTTACTTATTTTTATTATTTAAGGAAGTGACTTACGCTAGGTCACAAAACGTCAGAAATGTAGCACTTTACTCATTAATGTTCCACAAATATACTATTTCTATTACTAATTATATGAATGATTAAAATGTCACTGATATAGTAGGTAAAATTGATGCTTTAACAGTAAGACGATAGCCATGAGATATATAAAATTGTATTGGGTCTTCTATAAGCAGTTCAATGCTGAATAGCTCCAAGACGTTTCATTCACTTCTCGATGATATTGACTCCTAAAAATATTTAAACCTGGTATTTTTAGAGACGAGCATATTGACCAGTTTTATGACTGAATATCTCATTAAAGAAAGTGATGTCATATTTTCATAAAACGATTATTCATTAATGCCCTTCTATTTAACTTTTCAATACAACACATTCCTCACTTTAGATAATTTGATCACAGGCGCAATTTTCCTACACATAACTGGTTCTTTGCTAGTCAATGCATGTCTTTGAAAATCCTCTCTGTAAGTTGTACTTTTAAATAAGTTTGGATTGGTACCAGGCATTGACATGACATTTTCGCCAACATTTATCATATCTGATTCATCTCTGGGCTTTGAAGGAATCATTTCAATAGGAAGACAAAGTTTGTGATGCTTTAATTGATTATAATCTATTAATATTGGTCGCCATATATATTCATCAGTATAAACAGATTTATCAGTAAATTTCTCTGAAGTTTTTAGTGGTATATGAACAGGTTTTACCGGTTGTACATGAACTGTAATGTAAATAAGAAATGTATTCATTCAATAAGTTACTATATATAAATTAACTTTCTATGAAACCGGATAAAAGGATGTTAATACTGATTTGAGAATACTTTAATACTTTCCTCTAAAATTTGATCTAGAATCACGTAGATTAATGACTTTATTCCTCGATCTCAGGACCTTTCCTTGAAATTAAATTTCAAGCGGTCTAATAAATAAACTGATAAAGACTTTGGAGCACTGAATAACCAATTCTTATCACATAACAAACATTTATAACAATTTAACATTAGCAAATTTACTATACTCAATAAAATGTCTACTATAAACTGAAATAATCAAATAAAATCTTAGAGCAGCTGACGTACATTTGAGTTTGTTCACATTTAATTTGGTTAATACTTGTTGTTAACTTATTTAACGGATAGAGTCATCCGTACAATAACAACTTATCTATACCATTGTACCTATATTATTGTTGCGCTTGTATGAATATATATGTTTGAGCATTGCTTACGGCCTACGCACATAATCATTCTGTTAACTTTAGTGTTAACCGGTTAAATGATTCGATGACTCTTCATTTTCCTATGTATATACACATGCACATTTTAATCCTGTTCATTCGACTTGCACGCTTTCTCGCTTGCTTTTCGGCACCAGCTTTTCATTCTTGCTTCGTGAGCATGTGATTTTAGTGACTTATTCATGGTGCAATAATAAACGTGATCAACGCTTCGTATTCGTCTTCTGATTTAAACACCGTTGGGAGCATTATCTAGTAATAGTTATCAAGATGAACAGTATACGAAGTTTAAGGATAATATCGAATACCGACCACAATAAGTTCCTTATGCTTTAAGACATCAAAAAGAGATTATAAAATGTGTTAACGTTAAATTTTAAATGACAATTTATGACAGATTGGTATTCATTTATTGTTATTTATCGAAAAAACAAAACAAAACATTTTAGTGACGATTCGAACTCTGGAAACAAATTACTACGCTCGATCTTTAATCTGTTCAGTGAGTTGCAATTTCTTAATTGAGATCAGGAAATAAGTAAAAAAATGAATAAGGAGATTCTGTTTTAATTTCCAAGTTCTATTTTCATCCTATTCGAATATATAGATACCTTGATTTATTATTCGGTGTTGTCAATGAATGATACTCTGTGTACTTTAAATAGTCAGTCTGTTATTCAACTGATGGTAGACAGATTAAAATGAAAGTTCCAAAAAGATGTAATTCGAAGATGGTGGAGAAGATTTACAGCTCAGGTGGATGATTTTGATGGAGGTTTGTTCTTTGAGTTGGATGGTTTTGTCGTGAAGCTTTCATCGTTCTTCTGAACGACATCGAAGAGTTCACTTTTATTTAACTTTTGTGCTGATAATGTAGTTCAGAAGAACGATGAAAGCTCCACGACTAAACCATCAAGCTCAGAGAACAAAACTCCATCAAAAAGATGTAATTCAACAACTACCTTGTTCTTATTCCTGTTTCCATTTAAGTTGACTAATAAAAAAAAGTTTTAGCTCTGGTCAAATGAACTGTTTATTATAGTTGTAGAATACTTGACTAAATCTTCCAGTTTTATTCAGTTTATTTCTTTGTAAATACCATAAATGAAAGCCATAAATCAACCAGTAACATCTGAGTATCGAACAACCAATAATATGATCAGTGATAGAATTCTTCACTTTTTGAAGCCATTTCAACCACAACCTTGAAATTATTGTTGTAATAACAGACTATTTCTATCTCTTTCTATTAAAAAAAAATATTCTTTCAAACTGTTTCTTTTATTGTAACTTAGATTTTTGGTTCTGTTTTAATTTAACAAAACCGAATTAAAATTATTCTTAACTGATTAACACTTAAAATGTACATCGTTCTAATTTACTACTTTGAAACAGTAGGCATAGAATCTATATCAATTAGAGGAAGCATAAATTTCATAAGGCCTTCATGAATGTGTCAATAGACTTAGCTTTATTCAACAAGTTAAAAGAAAAACCGAAAGTATGAAAGAGTCCAAATCATTTGTTGGTAAACCATCAAAATAAGTAGAGTACTGAATGTCTTGTTATTATGTATCACTCATTTATAGTGATTATTTGTGACAAAAACTAAACTAATTCCCTGGAATTACTTATCAAAGTTCCTAATACTCATCAAAACATTTTCTCAAGTGGTTAGTATTATGGAAATAAAAATAATGTTGATAATATTTACTATCTGCTTACCAGCTTCCTTTGGCGGGAATTGTTCACGATATAATGAATTTTTTGTAAATGATTCTTTATTTCTTATTATCTGATCTGTCCGTCGCCATCCTTTGTGTTTCGAATCATAATCATCAATAAGCCAATCTCTTGGTTGCTGATCTAATAAACTAGTCAACGAATAACTATGATTCTGAAATTTATTTGAATTGACTTGTGTATGTACACACGAGATAGATTTTGCTTTCTCACCTAAATCCCAATTAATTGTACTTTTGTATGCTGAAACCTTATTTGTATTGTTAACGAATAATAATACATGTTAATTTAAATCATTAAGAGTGGTATATCAAAAATGACAGAATATGAGCATCTGCCTGTATACAATGATCAACAATCACGATTCACCATGGACCTATATCACTGATTTGTAATTGAATGGTGACCAGTCTCATATCTGTCTAGTTCCTATAGTAATGACAAAATTCCATCAATTAAATGGCCGCTAGTTTAGGTGACTTGACACCCTAAATACTGTGGTGATACATTGGGTGGTCACTACTCAATGACCAACCAGTTGTAAATATCTTATTTTTATAATTATGGCCTGAGTAGCTCAATGTAAACATTTGAAAATGTAAGGCTATCTGGTTTGGGTTTCAATCACACGGGAAGCATCAACATTTTCAAAAGTTTGATAATGACAGGTATCAGATAACTTACTAAAAATAGTGATACATTGTATCTTATTATTGTTAGTCTATATTAAATTGTTCTTTTTATCACTTAAAAATTGTAAAACTATGAAAATAACGGATTTTCTAGCAAATAATATAGATCTCTGTCTACCCTATAGTGTCGGTTACTATGTTAACCCCATGTAACTTATTCTAAATTCTGGATAGGCCAATTTATCCACTTTCTTGAGTCACGTTTTGACCTTGTTAATTTGGTAGCTGTCCTCCAGTACCTGGCAGCTAACGTTCTCGCGTTGACTGGCAATACCGCTCTTGACTCAAGAAGAATGGATAAACTGACCTGTCTAGAAGCTTGAATAAATTATATGGCCTCAACATAATAACCGACACTACAACTCTTAACTTATCATGTACAACCTTGCTAACCATTATCCAAACTATTCATACTATGAGGGAATGATTTCAATTAACCAAATACATGAACAAATTATCAGATGTTAAATTCTATAATTGTTAAGCCATAAATTTATAAAAGCATCAGAAATGACAAATCGATAATAATAATAATGGTAAGATACACCTTGAACAATGATTTTCGCCCTTATTCCTAATCAGTTCATTATTCGTATGATTTATTATATCCTACAATTTTATTTTATGTTGCCTCCTGTGAATTCAAATGACAATTGTATTATTATTACCAAATGCAATATGAGGAAAATTAAATCATATGGTGGATGTGTCGCTCAATTTCGTGGATTAGTTGAAGTTAGACATTAACACCGTTGGATGCCCACTAGGTGGTCTAGTGGTTAAGTGCTCGTGCGCGAAACCAGTAGGTTCTGGGTTCGAATCTCGCAAGGGGCGAGGTCGTGGATGCGCACTGCTGAGGTTTCCCACAATAGGACGAAACGACCGTCCAGTGATTGCAGGTTTTCCATGGTGGTCTAGCTTCAATTGACTCATGATCTTAAGCATTGAAATTAAATCATGTGTGTTTAAGATTTTTGGGCAAGACTAAAATTTATGAACGAACCAATCAGATTTAAAATTTTGGCGCAAAATTCATCCATACATTTGGCTAAATAAAGTTTTGGCATTATAGTTGGTATCAGTTCATGATGAAAACTCTAAAACTAATTTTTAACCCAAACCATCAACTGTAAATGAGGATTCTAACAACTTTACAGCCCTCATTTAGTCCTAATAAGTAGGTGTCCATTCTCAAGGTCACTTCAGCGTCGCTCAAAAGTCATCCATAAATTATAGTTTTACCGATTGTTCATTGACATCCATTTTTTAGTTAATAAGTTCAGTCTAGGAAATAATTATCATTTGATTATATTGTATTAATTTGCTATCAATCGATAATTCTGTTTGCAGCATAGTGATAAAAATGTGAAAATTAATCTTTCAAGTTTTAACGGTTTTCCTGAGAATCTAAATTATCTACAATGTTTCCTGAAGATATATAGTTTATAGTGAATGGAGAACTAAACAATACCCTTAGTGCTAAATCTATGGATTTTGAGGAATGTTTGCTTATTGATAGTACAATGAATATAAGGAGGGTTTATGTGTATACTCTAGTAATTTCAATGGCTGAGATCATGAGTTAATCGAAGCTAGACCACCATGGAAAACCTAGAAGAACGGGACGGCCGTTCTGTCCCATTGTAGGACTCCTTAGCAGTGCGCGTCCATGATCCCGCCTCGCGAGATTCGAACCCAGGACCTATCAGTCTCGCGTGCGAGCGCTTACAGTTATATTTAGCTTACAGTTCTTCCTATTTTTTCTTTTAGTTTCAATAAAAGTGTATTATTTTAATAAACATATATTTGGTTTTCTCAGTCCTTAGAAGTTCTTTCCCTCAATCATTTATATTCTTTGGATTGTCAGTTCTCTTTCCTGGATAATAATCTCACGATCATCTTATAACATTTCAGATAATCATCTGACAATATTATACAACATATTACTAAAATTACAAATAAACAGTGATATTAGATTTGATCATTTCTGTGATTAAAATTAAGGTTTCTAACAAAACAATTACTGATTGCTCATATAAGTGTCAAACTAAAGACGACTTTGTAAAATACAAAAAGCTGATATTTTATTAGTTCTTTATGTACACAAGGTTGAATTGAAATGTGAAAATACAAAAATGAGACTGAGTTCACTAAATACAGCTTTAACACTACTTCCATGCATCATGTACGATTGCAATTTATAATTATGTGAATGTACATATAATCTATGACATTTTCTAATAACTAGATTTCAGAATCCAGTTAATGATGGAAATTAAGTCTACAATTCGAAATATTCCTTCATTTATGCTCAGCTCATGGGCTATATATATATAAAAGATATTATTATACTGTTTTGTCTTACTTTTGGCTTGAAACTGCGTGCACGAATTCCTTCAGGTTCAGTTTTGCGTGAAGTTCTTGGATCCCATAAATAATCAGATCTAGTTGAACTTTGTAAATCAAAATAATTAGGATCTTTTATCCATAAAGGTTGACTTATCAAATGTCGTGAACTATCAATATCTGCTGATGGCATTATTGACCTATTAATCTGATAATAAAAAATAATTTATAATTCATACAGGATGTTTAATGGAAAAATCCGTTTAATACATTAGAAGATTTATTAACGTAATGAATGTTAGGTTTTAAATGAATTTTGTTTAATATGAAGTTTTCTAAACTTTTTTTCACTAAATCACCTTATTTGATGATTCCAAGCACGGTGGTCAATTTCTAGTCATGTGTTGGATCTTGATCAATTGATGAGATAAAATTAAAATGCTAGATCAGTAGGTAATATCTAATGTTCAACATAACTCCGCCTGGAGTCCCTCCGGGGGCTACTACCGGTCCCAAGCCCGGATAAAGGAGGAGGGCTGGGCATGGGGTTAGTGATCCCATCCCGTAGAAAACTAACTCAATAAAAAAAACGCTAACCAGAAAAAAAATTGTTCAACATACAAATCAATATGAAATTGATTTTCTTAAACTATCTTATGTTTATTTGATTTAGATTTATTTCTCAATCACCCATTCACTTTTTTTTCTATGTCGGATAATATCCAAGTCATATAAATATCCAATCAACATTTATGAATTTATGCATAAATAAATCATAGTGCATTCATTATATATTCGATCTCAGCTTAAAATATTGATCTGACGATTGTAAAGTGTTCAACAATGAAAAATATATATATACATATATTGATTAAAGTGTTTAACCAACTATCTTTGTCTTGGCTATTCAATATCAAAGTTAACAAATTGAAAGACATCTCATAAATTGAAGCTATGGATGTTTTTACATAAGAACTTTCGTCTAAATTTGAACGGATAGTTTCATGATATTTGAGCTCCGAGTTAATGTGAGATATTAAAGAGGAAGAATATGTATTTGTAAAATCTCAGCGATATATTACTCACGAAAGAATCATTTTGAAGTCAAATAGATAAGCTTACCAGTAATTATAATGAAAACGTCTTATTTAAATCATCCAGATTATATAATCCAACATTATAGAAAAAATAAACTACGCAAACTACTTACTTTAATAATAAAATCAATAATCCTGAAATGATCATCATTCTTTACGCTCACCTGATTCTCTTAAATTATGTGAACTCTTCAAATTCTATTAAGTTATTACGTAATCTATCTTACCAACTTTTTAATTCCATGAATAGTTGACGTTAGACACTAACACCCTTGGATGCCGGCTCAGTGGCCAAGTAGGTTAAGCGTTCTTGCGCAAGACTGAAGGCTCTGGGTTCGAATCCCGAGAGTGGGATCATGGATGCACACTGCTGAGACATCCCACAATAGGACAAAACGGCCGTCCAGTGCTTCCAGGTTTTCAACAGTGGTCTAACATCAATCGGTTCATGATCTCAATAAAAAAATTCTTTATTACCACTAAAATTATCACACAATTTATCTTATCCGCCTCTGAACTTCATTATTACACCACCCATACTTAATGTTTCCTTGATTCTAACACCTAGTAGCCTTGGACCTGTTCTTGCATATATATAGTTATCATTGATAACATTTGTCATTCCAATCCCTTACTTTCACTTATGTCAATTGTACCATACTATTTCTTATCTCAATATAAAGTTCTAATACATATTTGGTTGTAAGAAGCTGATGAGAACCACGAACTATGATGAATTCATATTATTCTGCATCAATATTTGTTTTGGCTTTATTTAAATTCATAAAGGGAACTAATTGCATGTAATATTATTTTATAATCAATTGTTTATTACTAGTAAATATTATACAATAGAAATACAAATGAATAATGAATTTCAGATTGTCATTATTTAAACTTACATTTATATTCCAAAGAAAACCCCCGTAAAATATTTATGATGTCGTTTTATTCATAAAAACTATCTGAATATACTACTGAATTAATTGTTTCACAAAATCGTGATAAATTCTTTGAGATTAATCAAATGCAAACGAAATTTTCGTTCCCTTTTTTTTTTATCTTTTTTCCCTCCTTATTATTTCTTTTTAGCACTAAGCAACAATAATTTAAGGTATATTGTATTGATTAAATCAGTTACTTAATTTGAATCGAATATAATGGTTAAGATAAGTGTACAAAGTAAAACAACAACAACAACAACAACGACAACGACAACGACAACAAATATCATCAAAAATCAATAAATATTATGTATTCTAATTGGTGTACAATGATTTATAGTGTTTTTATTTTACTTTTAGTCAATGTAATATTAAGTCCTTAATAATGAATAATAATCCAATCAAAACAAACTGAACAATTTAATTTATTCATTGGAGTTATGTAAAATATTATTTCAAAGGTTGAATAAATTGATAGTCATCTATTTTACTTCATTATTATTATTACTAAAAAATACTTAATTACTTACATCTGTTACTCCCAATGGAGCATAGGTCGCCGACCAGCATTCTCCAACCCACTCTGTCCTAGGCCTTTCCTTCTAGTTCTATCAAATTGTTGTTCATTCTTCTCATGTCTGTCTCCGTTTCTCGACGTAATGTGTTCATTGGTCTTCCTCTTTTCGTTTGGCCTTGAGGATTTCATGTGAAGGCTTGCCTTGTCACGCAGTTCGGTGCTTTCCTCAACATGTGTCCTATCCACTTCCAGTACTTCTTCCTGATTTCTTCCTCCACTGGAATCTGCTCTGTTGTCTCCCACATTATGTTGTTGCTGATGGTGTCTGGCCAACGGATCCTAAGTATTTTACATAGACAACTGTTAATAAACACCTGTATCTTCTGGATGATTGCTTTCGTAGTTCTCCAGGTTTCTGCCTCATACAGTAGAACTGTCTTGACAATTGTATTGAAAATCCTGACATTGGTGTTGATTGACAGTTGCTTTAAGTTCCACATGTTCCTCAGTTGTAAATATGCTGCTCTTGCTTTGCTGATCCGCGCCTTCACATCTGCATCAGATCCACCCTGTTCATCAATGATGCTGCCCAAATATGTAAAGGATTTTACATCTTCCAAATCTTCTCCGTCAAGTGTGATTCGATTGTTGCATGTTGTGTTGTATTAGAGAATCTTGCTTTACCCTTTGTGTATATTGAGACCTACTGCTGTTGAGGCTGCTGCTACACTGGTTGTCTTCTCCTGCATTTTCTGTTGCGTTTGGGATAGAAGGGCTAGATCATCTGCGAAGTCTAGATCGTCCAGCAGCATCCTAGATGTCCACTGTATCCCGTGTTTCCCTTCAGATGTTGACGTCTTCATGATCCAGTCGATCACCAGGAGAAAGAGAAAGGGTGAGAGTAAGCAACATTGCCTGACACAGGTCTTCACTTCGAACGACTTTGTCAATTGTCCTCCATGCACGATTTTGCAGTTTAATCCATCATAGGAATTCTGTATGATATTGACTATCTTCTGCGGCACGCCGTAATGTCGAAGAAGCTTCCGTAGTGTTGTTCTGTCCACGCTATCAAATGCCTTTTCCGTAGTCAATGAAGTTGATGTAGAGTGATAAATTCCATTCAATTGATTGTTCCACAATGATCCGTAGAGTTCCGATTTGGTCTGTACACGATCTATCCTTATGGAATCCTGCCTGTTGGTCACAAAGTTTGGCGTCTACGAAGTCCTTCATTCTGTTTAACAACACCCTGTTGAAGACTTTTCCCGGTATTGAGAGAAGAGTGATGCCCCTGTAGTTATCACACTTGCTGAGATCGCCTTTCTTTGGTATTTTGACCAGAAGTCCTTCTTTCTAGTCTGTTGATACTTGTTCCTCATCCCAAATCTTATTGAAGAGAATGTGGAGTATCCCTGCAGTTGCCGCAACGTCTGCTTTCATTGCCGCTGCTGGAATGTTGTCTGGTCCTGCTGCTTTGCCACTCTTGATTTGTCTGATGGCCATGCTGAGTTCTTCAATTGTTGGTGGGCCAACATTGATTGGGAGGTCCGTGGTTGCTGCTTCAATGTTGGGTGGGTTCAGTGGGGCTGGTCGATTCAAGAGTTCTTTGGAGTGTTCTACCCACCTGTTTCGTTGTTCTTCAATGTTGGTGATCACCTCGCCTTCCTTGCTTTTCACTGGTCGTTCTGGTTTGCGGCGATTTCCAGAGAGTTTCTTTGTTATGTCATACAGTTTTCTCATGTTTCCTTCCCTTGCAGCCTTTTCCGCCGTCATTGCTAAATCTTCCACATACGCTCCTCTTCACTTGCTTGTTTACTTCCGTGTATTTAGCTTGTGCCTTGGCTTTTTCTGCTCTTGTTCGACTGGTATTGATTGCTGCCTTCTTGTTCCTTCTTTCTTGAACCTTATCCAGTGTATCAACAGTGATCCATTCCTTGTGATGATGCTTCTTGTGGCCCAGGACCTCATGACATGCTGAAGTGATTGCCTCTTTGATCCCCTTCCAGTTGCTCTCCATAATAGTTCCCTCTCGATTGAGTAGAGCATGAAAGGTCTAGAACTTATTGCTGAGAACTATCTTGAATTGCTTGAGTTTGTCAGTATCCTGAAGAAAGGCCGTATTGAACATTTGTGATATTGTCCGCCCCATTGTCCAGTGCTTCTTGAGTTTCAATTTCATCTTGGCGACCAGCAAGTGATGGTCTGATGTTATATCAGCTCCTCTCTTGGTTCTCACGTCTTCTATCGTCCTCCTGAACTTTTTGTTGAAGCAGATATGGTTGATTTGGTTTTGTGTAGTGTGATCCGGTGAAGTCCATGTGGTTTTGTGTATGCGTCTATGTGGGAATATGGTGCCGCCTATGACCAGTTTATTGAAGGCACATAGGTTTGCAAATCTCTCACCATTTTCGTTTCTTTCTCCCAGTCCGTGTCGTCCCATGATGTCTTCATATCCAGTGTTGTCCATTCCAACCTTGGCATTGAAATCTCCCATCAGAATGGTCAGGTCCTTTGTTGGGCACTTCTCGACTATTGACTGCAGCCTATTGTAGAATTGATCTTTAGCTTCTTCATTGTAGTCGTTGGTAGGCGCATAGCATTGGATGATGTTCATTGAAATGCCCTCTTTCTTTGTTTTGAACGAGGCTTTGATGATCCTTGGTCCATGAGATTCCCATCCTATAAGCGCATTTTGCGCTTGTTTGGACGGCATCAATGCAACTCCTTGTGTATGTGGTGCATTTTCTTCTTCATGGAAGGAGTATAACAGGAGCTCTCCTGTAGTTAGTCGTTGTTGTCCAACTTGTATCCAGTGTGTTTCACTGATCCCAAGTATCTCAAGGTTGTATCTTCTCATTTCTGCAGCAATTTGGAAGGCTCTCCCGGTGTCTCACATTGTACGAGCATTCCATTTACCTAAATAAATGGTTGCTCTGGCTGTCGGAAGGGGCATCAGCCTCGTAACTTCCGAAGGAATTCGACTTTCATCATGAGGCGTCATAGTTCTTCTAAATGAAGACCTTCTGACTCCCACGACAGAGTTTAAAAGGTTTGAATAATTTTTTCTGGTTAGCGTGCTTTTAGCGAGTTAGGTTTCTACGGGATTGAAACGCTAACCCCATGCCCAACCCTCCTCCTTTGTCAGGGCTTGGGACCGGCAGTAGCCCTTAGAGGGACTCCAGGTGGAGTTGAGATTAGGAAGTAGTTGACTACTAGTTAATGATAACAGTTTATTGGCTCAAGTGGCTGACAAATATCCAGTATTTAGTAGAGAAGACGAATGAGCCAACTCGTTAAGCGTTAACCGATATTTATGGTCAGACAAAAATAAGTTACAGTCACATCATAAATAAGGTTAGCTATTATCACACATACACTGTGCTGTTTGAATGAACTAATGATTCTTCGTACTTGTTGAATGCTTGATTTGGAATTCCGAATTCAGTACATTCGTTCGTGCTTATCTAGTACTTCTTGATCCAATTGCGTTATTTCTTGGATTCTTAGGTTATACTATAATTTAAATACTGCTAATTATTTCATACACTCACATATTAAAAGTCAGGGTCAATAAGCGAACAATTGACAAATTCAGAATGTGGCTTGGGAAGAATAAGTAAATTGGTCTGTCCAGAAACTAGAACAACCCATGTGGGCTTGACACAATGTCAGCCACTACATAACCTATGGTCTCAATGAAAAGAGATCAACTGTCTTGACAACGGCAGCTCCTTTTTTATATGTATGTTAAATGATATTTGCATCGACGAAATAAAGACCTCATTTTCCTTTATTTGTCACTTTTTATATATATTCACATTCGTATTCAATATCTGTTGTTTCTCTGTGTCAATGGTAAAGAAACGGATATATATATATATATATATATATATATATATATATACTACCGCGATTGTTAAAAAATAAACGCTATCCCTGTCCTTAGTTCTCCTGCTTTATTGGTCACGGCCTTTGACTGGAGATCATAACTGTGTTATAACATCATTTTAGCTCATCCTTCAGTACGTTGGAGTTTGCGCCCGGGTTATTACTGAATCATGTTATCGGATTTGATCTTTCTCATTACGCCGTTGGTGCCACCACATGCAGATGGACCTTGTTAACCAAGTGAACTCATTTATGATTATCTCAGGAGCAGCTTATAAGTAAATTCATTTCATAACAACTGTTACCGTTTCGTAATTCAATATACCGTTTATGTTGTGTCATTTGTTACATCTTGCTTTACTCATAAACAGACAATTAGGTTTGTAGTGCAAATTCAGTTGGTGTATCATTGTTAGCTTTGACTATCGTTATATCTTGAATAAGCTCTTTCGCTGGGAACCACCATACTCCTTTAATGCTACCAACCAAAGCCATGAATATGCAGTATGAGGAGATTATAAGTTATTGCTTCGCTTTTCTCAACACAGTTTATTCTCACTGGCAGTGTTCTTCGGAGGAATACGTGAGGCGATTATCGCTAGTCATCAGATATGGAGATGGTATCAGGCTTGAACATCTCGTTGAATTTCTCTTTCGTTCTAGCATTAAACTGGGGATCGATATGTCTCGACTGTTTAAAATGGTTGGTTTCTGGGTATTAATAATATTATTAATAAACGTTTTTTCTCGAGTAATTGTCTGTTAAACGAAGCAAGACAGTTTACAGACAAGTTTGAAATATTAAGAATGCCTATATGTTACAAGATATATTCATACTAGAACTAGG